CAATCCAAGAATGACCAATCCACACAATCGTATGCCTTTTCAAAATCTGCCTTGAAAATAAAAGCTTGTTGCTTCCTCTTTTTAGCTTCATCAACCACTTCATTTAAAATCAAAACACCATCCACCAATTGGTGACCCCCCATAAAAGCAGACTGGGTATTAGTAATAATCTCAGGCATCACAGTCTTTATTCTGTTAGCTAACACCTTTGCCAACAATTTATATACACACCTAATCAAAGTAATAGGTCTATAATCTCTCCACTCCCTCGGATTAAGCTTCTTAGGAAACGTTAAAAAAGAAGAGTTTAACCCTCTTACTAACCTGCCACGTTGATGAAACTCCTCAAAGAAGCTGACAAAATCCTCCTTCAAACTGCTCCAGACAAATTTGATGAAACTGAAATTGAAACCCTCTGTCCCTGGTGCTTTATTCCCATCACAGCTCTTCAACCCTTCTTCAATCTCCTCTGCTGAAAATGGCCCTTCTAACCACTCTTGCTGCTCCTCAGTAATTTGTTTAAAAGTGACACCATCCAGCTTAGGTCTACTCCATGATTCTCCTTGAAACAATTCCCTGAAATATTTGACTACCAATTTTTTCACCAACTCTGGTTCCTCCACCCACCTACCGTCACTACAAAGACTTGTAATACCATTGTGAGCCTTTCTACCATTTGCCACTTTGTGAAAGTATCTTGTATTCGCATCACCCACTTTCAGCCAATTGCTCCTAACCTTTTGTCTCTAGATGTTTTCTCTTTTTCTTATAATCGCCCATAGCTCCTAAAAAGCTTCCTGTCGTTGAGCTACCTCAAATCCCTCTAATACACACTCTTCATTCCTCATATCAACATGCTCCACCTTCTATACAGCATTATCAAATTGCTCCTCTATATCCCCAAACACACCTTTGTTCTAGCCTCTCAAAAACTCTTTAAGCAATTTTAGCTTCTGTTTGCATTTAAAACCTGCAAATCCCTCCACCTTCAAGGTTGCCCATTTTTCCTCAACGGTCTCCTTAAAATCTGAATGCTGCTGCCAGACATCCAATACTTTAAATGGTTTTGGCCCCCAGTCTACTGTTCTAGATTTCAAGATAATGGGACAATGATCTGATATAGTTCTTTTTAACCCATGTTGTACCCATTCCCCACTCATGTTACACATCTCTGTAGACATTAAAAATCTATCCAATCTGCTCATGGATGTCCCATCTGGTTTATACCATGTAAAACATCGATTCACTAACCGAATATCGACCAAACCTGTTGTCTCAATAAAATCATTAAATTCGCCCATCTTTACTTTCTCCCTTGTCCTTCCCCTTTTTTCTTCTAGACTCCTGACCGCATTAAAATCGCCCGTAACCAACCAACATTCTCCCTCTTCCACAATCAGCTGCTTTAGTTCATCCTATAATTATATTTTTTTCTATCTTTCTTGAGGAGCATATACATTTACTAAGTGACACTTCACCTTCTTCAAACCCCATTCTCCTGTGACACCGAGAAATCCATCTCCCTAAAATTCTCCCAATTTTACAAACTGCGACTTGTTCCAAACACACAACAATCCGCTAGACGCTCCTCTCGAATCCTGCACCTCCCAATCAAACTCATCCGAATTCCACAACAATCTACATAAACTACTATCCATCCCTTCTAATTTAGTCTCCTGCAAAAACATAAAATCTGGCTTTTGTTCCCTCACCAATCTACCCACCTCCTTCTTCTTCAATAACCCCCCTAATCATCGCACATTAAAGGATAGGAATTTCATAAAAGATATATAATCACACAACCCACTTATCTCCTCTACCCTTAAACCCCTTTGAATCACCTCCCTTGCGCCGTAATCTGTCCCTCAATTGCCAACAATCTCGATTGAACCTCCTCCTCGGAATCCTAAAAGTTAATCCCTAACCTCTTCCCCACACTAATCATCCTCCTAACCTCAATTAAATTCAAATCCCTTTTAATTACCTGATTTCGATGCTCAATACATCCATCTGAAAGTGAGCTGCTGCCGACCCACTTTGCTTTTTCCTCTGCAGTGTGCTGAGCCTTCTTCCTACGTCCTTGGCGCTTCTTTGTTCTTCCTGTTACCCATTGTGTCTTCGTCGCCGAGTCTGCCGCCAAGCTTTGTGGATAACACTCTTCTAAATTTCTTCGCCGCTTGCTTTGCACGGCCTTGCTACCCGAATCTCGATCGGAATGGCTCTTCTCGGCATTAATGCTTTTGGGTTCATTTCCCTCCATACCCATAATCCTTTCATGTGAGCCACTGTTCTCTAGCCCATCATCAGCCCCACGTCCTTCTTGTTGGTCCACTAAGGGCCATCGACAGCAACCTTCTTAGGCCCAATAACGCCCCCCCTAACAACACCCTTCTGGCGCCCCATCTCATAATTGCCATCACCCTCTGTAACGTGGTTTCCATGCAAATTCAAATTTCCTACATCCGTTGATGCCTCCTCATCAATGCTATCGGCTTCTTCACCACTAATTTCGGTGTCGATCAATTCTAGATCCTCATCATGATATTACGATGAAGAATATTCCGATTCAGTTATCAACGTACTGCTCCTATCTCCGGATGACAGCCACCAATCTGGGTCTAATCTCCATTCTTCCTCTGCCACATTAATCTCGTATAGCTATTCTTCCACCTTCAGCATCACGGTCTTGGATATCTTGCCTGATTGATGACAAAGAATCATAACTCTTCCATCACACATGATTGATTTCTTCTTCGTATTATCGTGCATTATTATCACTTCCCCTATTGAAGCTGTAATTTTCTCAAAACACCCGTCACACCAAGCCTTCAATGGAACCCCAGATATCCTTAACCATACCAATCTCCCATTTTGTTTAGGTGCCGTTTCCCATGGACATATAGACTCAAACCACGTTTCAAACAACCCCTTGTTTTGCCTCATATACTCATCCAAATAACCTGTCGTTCTTTCAAGTAACCTTTATATGTATGTATATATATATATATATATAGGGGTTAGTGCTTATCTACCTTACCTCTAAAAAATTAGGAGAAAAAAGGACAAAAATGACCTTAATACATGCTTTAAAAATAGGGTAGTTTAGTCTTTTTCAGTAAAAATTTATTAAAACAACGTAGTTTTGAGATGATTTTCCTCATAATCTTTAAGAGGTAAGGCTGATAGGTACTATTTATATATATATATATATATATAACACAACAAAAAAGGAGCTAACAGTTAAGAAAGTTGAATTAGTGTAGAGAATCATTTTGAAGAAACAGGTTCGATTATATCCTAAGCACACCAGGAACATGCTCAATAAATTTGATAATCCTACTTGGATATTTGAATCAATTGATGCTTTTCTAAGGTTAGCATCCATCCAGTCTTAGAGCAACAAAATCAAGTAACCTAAAAATCCCTAATCTGCCACAACATGGCCAAGAAGTAAACCCGTCCTATGTGGAATTTGATGTTACAGTTCAGTCATCTGTTGCTTTGTAAACCTCAATTCTCATATCCTGAAAACTATCAAACCGAGGATTAAGTTGAGAAACATTGACAACGCATGAACTTATAACTCATGAATTGTTAACGTACGTGTTCTCTATTTTATAAGGAGTGGGTTCCAATCCACTTTCCTATCAAAAAATACAGCACCTGAAATGAGTAAAGTGGGAAAGGAGAAATGGAGTTACTGGGATGCTCATTCACGTATTTTTTTCTAGACATAAGAGACACAACTGCGTATGCTCTCCGATTTTAGGGAATGATGACCTGTCAACTATTGCAATTTGAAGAGAAATGAAATGTAAGCTGCCTGTTTCTTCTGTAGAGCCAAATGAACCCTGGCACTGTTATTATGTGAGTATGGAAAACATAGGAAAATCTGAAAATGTTAGTTAAGTAATCAAGTTGAAAAGTCTAATTGCACATTCTTTGGAAATATTCTCAGCATTCTTAACTAAAGTTTAGTGCTTGATGAAGAAGGGAATTAGTTTTAAAGTCATCATTGATCTAACAACTCTTTTTATCAAAATTCACTGCAGGCTACTAAAAATTTAAGTTCAAGTTGTTAATAGTAATTGATTTTCATACTTTTAGACTTACTCTTTATCAATATGGAATTTAAGGTGTTACAATTATTTTTATCTTTGTATAATTTATATTCCATGAAAAATTACAGAGTTTTAAATGTGACTTTAACCTCAAACAAAACCCCTTGTTTCAACAGGACTAGTAAGTAGTATAATTATACATTTAGTGACTGGTGCCAACTTCCTGAGTGTGCTGCAAAATCAGGTATTTTTGTTCGAGATTAGAAGCTGTTCCAGTAACATAAAAATTGTGGTGTGATTGTTGGGATTGTTCTCTTCTGCTAGAATTCATAAGATCACAGCTTTGTTTCTTCCATCTTCGATTATTTCATTCAAGAAGGGTGGTGTTTGTTTTCTTCTCGGATGATCTTAGTTAACTTTTTGTTATTCTATTTGTCAGTTTATTGTTTTTTCCTTTTGCATTGGCATGAGATTATAAAACGAGATAGAGTTTTTGTAATGGTTTGAAGTATATATCTATTGTCCTTTCATATAATAAATTCTTTTGCCAATTCAAAAAAAAAAAAAAAATCAACAATTATTGCGGCACACCTTTCCTTGACTTCTTAATTTTTCGAGAAGAGAAAAGAAGAGAGATGAGAAGGAAATGATTGAAAATTTTCAACATTCAATCATATAGATTTATATTTATTCACTAAAAAATATCACTGTATCTTAAAATGAATCAATCAACAGGCAACAGTTGCTTATACCCAATGGTAGCAGTATGCAAATCCAAGAATTTCAAGTGAAAAAATGATTGAATATATGAACAAATAAATTGTTTAAGTTGGCACCAACAAACTTGTTTAGTTCAACTTCAAGTAAAAATTTTGTTTTCTTTCTTAGTAGCAACTTTTTAAAGCGAAGTTTTGGGGGATTTGTTAATTCATGTGTTGGGTTTGGCCTATCCCTTTATATGAAGTAATGGTCATTCTATCAATTTATGTTAAATGGATAATGATTTATATACTTTTCGGTTCAACACATCTAACAATACACACCGATTCAATCATTAAAAAACTAATATTTTCAAATTTGAATTCAAGACAAGAAATTTTCAAAAGCAAATAATTGAACCGATAAGTATTATTAAATGTATTGAATGCAGAGGGTATACTGATCATTTTTCATATTAAATTAAACCCACATATTAAGCCCACTTTAAGTCATGTTTTTACAGGCCATTATTAGACGCATAAAGAATGGGGTCTGATTTGGGATGATGCAGAATGGAGAGCACCTGAGGGGAGCAGGCGGAGAGGGAAAGAAAGCATGAGAGAATTATTTGGTACTATGCATAACTTTGATATTTTGTTCGATTTACAAAAATTCATTAAGTTGAAATTTTATATGAGTGTTTATAAGGTTTTCATTTAGAGTTTTGTAGGTTTTGATTTAGAGTTTTGTAGGTTTTGATTTCTATCCTGAATAAGTAATTTGTTTTTGGTGATTATCAATCTTTGTAGTCCCATTCTCTTTGTCAATTTATGGCTTGTTATTCTTTTTGTTTGATGCTATTTTTGTGCTTTTTTAGAGAGAATATTATGTACTTTCTTTGATTAAAATTATTTTTAGTAGACTAGATGTCTCACGATTTTTACTAATTTTTGAGGTTTTTTGCATCAAAACCTTGTGTTTTTTGCAATGACTGTTTTGCCTTAACCATATTTACTATTTTGAATATTTTAGTTGTTACCATTATTTTGATTGAAAACGATTTAATTTACTCCTAATAATTTCAAATAGATTAAGAAAGATTTTAGTATTGCTTTTGTTTCTATTGTGCTCAAGTAACCGTTCGTTCTTTCCAACATTGGGAAAGGTAGACATATTACATCCAGTTATAGCATTATACGACACAAATAATCAAACAAAGTATAGCTTAACACACAAATGCACAAGAATCTAAGAAACCATCCAAAGAAACAATCAAGCACAAAATACCCAAAACAGAAATTACAACAATGGTAGAAGAGCTTTAGCCCTTCTTTCCACTCTTCTTCGTATCCTCTTTTTGCTGTAATTCATAAGCAATGGCAACAACGGTGAACACAAATGTGGAGGATAGGATTATAATAGCCAGCATGAGATGGTAATAGTCAAGATGACTTTTGCTAACGTCATTGCCAACCCACCTGCTTGGAGAAGCCGGTGTGAGTATTATACTGAGGAAGTCCCTACACCATCCGCGATTCCGCACACTGCTTTTGCCTCTAAGTCATCGTCTAGATGGTCAGGATGGAGAAATTCTTCCAGTCCTTCTTCCAGTATTCCTTTCATCATTCCCCACAGGAGAAATTGGGGCAGAAGCCACAACATGCTGGCGGAATTATAATTCGAATCCAATCTGTGAGCAACAAGAGAAGCTACCATGCAACACAAAGAGGAAAAAACCATACAAATGCTGATTCTGAGGAGCCTCGCCCACCTCCATTTTTTTTCTATCATGGTACTGTTCGATTGGACAATGGCACACCTGTTCGGTTATTTTGGAGACATGCTCCGGAAAGGAATAGAAAACGAGCAGGGATAAATTTTGGTATGTTGGCGCATCTTCTGCTGATGTTGGGCTGTGTATCTCAACACATTGTGAATCAGTAAATCAGTTTATCTTTGGGCCTAAAAATAGCTTTTGATGATCCAGCCCAAAAGTCCTCTAGGATAGATTTGGTATCAACATATTCTATATCTTCTGGGCCTAAAAATAACGTTTGATGATCCAGCCCAAAATTCCTCTGCGATATGGTATCTATAGGTTCTATGCTACGTTTATAGTTTGGCCACCATAAAAACAACGGCACTAGAAGCAGTGTGGCTTTTTCACACCTCCGGTGGCCGGTGCAGACTTCCGAGAAGCCTTGGTGGTCAGCTAGCTGCTTCCGCGGCTTCTTACCGCCGTTGATTTTCTAGCTATCAGCTTGGTGCAAGCCATTTCAAATTCGAAGATGAAAATTTGGTGTTGACTTGAGGAAAAGGGAATTCGGGATTGGGAGGTCTTTTATAAGGGAAAATTTGGAAAAAGCGGGAAGATGAAAATTTTGTGTGTTTTCCAGATATTTGAATCCCTGAATCCAGACCGTAGATTGAAGGGGCTATCGACGGTTATACGAACTTTGAAATCATGATCTGCGTCACAGCAAAAAAAGATCTAGGCCGTTCATTAGATATTAAGAGAAGAGAGACACGGATTGCACTCGTACGGCAGGCAAGATGTTTCTATGTAGGGCCGGTGGACTTCATTTATATTGGGCCACGTTTTCAGAGTCGAGAAGGTAAGGAAGGATTTCATCAATGCCAAATGCAAGTTTTCAATGACCAGACAAAAGGAATTGAAGTTTTTAATGCATATCAGCTACCTGAGTTTCATCACTGGTAAAGAAACTTCCTATTCTGTGAACATGATTCTCAAACTTTGTGTTACGGATTATAATTTATTTTAAATGCCGTTTTGAAGATTTTGAACGTAGCATTTGGCTCCCTACAGGAAGTCATAAACGTCTAACTTTTGAAATCTAGATTATATGTTCCCATTAATTGATTGGTAAATTTTGAAACCTGTAGAAGAAAGGCAAGAAATATTGACAAGCTGAAGATAGTTATTATTATTCTCAAATGTAGTTATAACAGAAACTTGGTTCCTTCAACTTGAAGATTAAAGGCTGACACACCAGCAACACAGTGCATGGCAACAGAGAAGCACAATCTTCTAAGACCAAACCAAAATCAAAGTACAAAAGGTTGAAGCATATATAGGCTTTTATTTGTGAATGCAAAATGAGCATCAAGCAGTAGCTAGGCTATGGTAAAATCCACATTGCTTTTGCTTGGCAAGGACCTTAGAGCAGGCTGGCCTTGCTGTGATACCAGCAACCCATGCACTGACATGGGGACGTGATTCAAACAGCTCCTTTGTTTGTGTCCCCACCAAGATTTGTACGTGTAACAGGGATGTGGTGCATATCAGCCAAGCTGAAGCTGTCACCACTCACCAGCCAAGTACTTTGACTGAGACAAACGAGTCTCATAGATGTCAACCTGAAAAGTCTAATTGCATATTTGAAAAAGTGTTTGAAGTATTCTCAGCTGAAGTTTTGTTTGAAGCATTCTCAACTAAAGTTTAGTGTTTAATGAATGAGGGAAAGTAGCAGCAACATCTGTAATATGTTAGAAGTTAGAATCAAAAAATTCAAAATCAATTATTTTTGTCCCTATATAACTTATATTCCATAGAAAACTACAAAATTTTGCATTTGACTTTAACCTCAAACAAAACCCTTTTGTTTCAACAGGACTAGTGAATACTAAACATTTTTAGTGACTGGTGCCAACTTCCTCAGAAATTGTGGTGTGGTTGTTGGGAGTTTTCTGCTGCATGAAATCATATGATCAGTTTTCTTTCCTTCATCTTTGATTATTTCATTCAAGGAGGGTGGTTTTTTGTTTGCTTCTCATGATGGTCTTAATTAATTTTTTTTGTTATTGTGTTTGTCAGTTTATTGTTTTTTCCTTTTGCATTGCCATGAGATCGTAAACAAGAGAGAGTTTTTGTAATGGTTTGAAGTATTATTTCTCTTGTTATTTTCATATAATAAATTCTTTTGCCAATAAAAAAAATCAACAATTATTTTGGCACACCATTTCTTGACTTCTTCTTAACTTTTCTTGGTTTGCATGAATGTTAGAGAAAATATATAAATAAAATTTGGTAATTTTCCACAAGAGAAATGAAAGATGAAAAGGAAATGATTGAAATGTTTCAACTTTTAGCAATATAAAATTAAGAAATGATGTGTATAACCTCCAAAGTTACACATTTCATTACACACTAATAGTTTCTGTTAATATGCTATTAAAATTGACAGTTTTCATTACTTATACCATTAAAACTGATGATTTTCATTATTTATGCCGTTAAAATTAACGGTAACCGTCAATTTTAACAGCACATTAACGGTAAGGATCATGATTCATGCACACCTTGGTTCAACATTTGGGGGTGCACACTTTATATAACCAAATAATTTTAAAAAGAAAATTACAAATTTACCCTCTCACTAAACCATTTTCCAAATGACAACAAGAACAAATCTCAACAAAACTCAATCAAGAATTCAAGCACCAAATTCATCCTTACCCTAATCATCTGCAAAACAATTGGCAACCGTACCAGGTTCCCACCTTCTTCCTCCATTTTTTTTTCATTTTTTCACCCGGGTTCTACTGGAGCTGCAGAATCCTGTAGAACCTAATCTAGGTTCTCTAGCAGAACTCAAATGGAAAACCCAATCTCAAATGGAGAGAATAAAAAAAGAAGAGGAAGAAGGAAAAAGGAAGAAGATAATGGATTTGTTAGAAGAGGAAGATGCAGAGACAAGAAGAAAAAGTGGTATTGAGAGGAAGATGATTTTAAGGTTAAATTTGTAATTTTAATCTTAAAATTAGTTGGTTATGTAGAGTGTGCACCCCTGAGTGTTGAACTGGAGGGTGCACAAAGCATTTTCTTAACAGTAATTGTTAGTATATAACAGAGTCTGTAACTCTTAGAATGTGCATATATCAGTGTCATATAAAATTATATCTATTCATTAAAATGTATTAGTGTATCTTGAAATAAATTATTCAACAAGCACAGGTTGCTTATATTCAATGTGACAATGTGCAAACTCAAGAATTTCAAATTAAAAAAAATCGAATATAAGGACAAATAGATTGTTTAATTTGGTACCAATAAAATTGTTTAATTCAACTTCAAGGTAAAATTTTATTTTCTTTATTGCAGTGCAGCGACTTTTTTAAAGCGAAGAGCTGTGGGATTTATTAATTTGGGGAAGGTAGACATATTACATCCAGTTATAGCATTGTACATCACAAATAAACAAAGCATAGCTTAATACACAAATGCACAAGGAATCTAAGAAACCATCCAGAGAAACAGTCAAGCACAAAATACCCGAAACAGAAAATTAATTACAACAATTAATG